ATGCAATTGTACAATTGGAGAGGTGGTGACTTGGAGAACTCTTTGATTATTTTGGGTTAATTCTCCAAGGGAAGATCCCAATTCTTTAGCTATAATCAAAGTAATGTTTCCTTAATTCGAGTTCTACAGTCTATATTGCGAGAAATTAGGATCAATGAAATCATTGTATACAGTTATTTCTATGTAAAATCCCATATCACTCTGTGAAATCCCATATCACTCTACCTCATGGGTAGCTATGTCAGCAATTACACTTAATAAGTATACGTATAATTTGATATAATTTGTGTAGAAAATACAATAGTTGTTAAGCTCCTCTAAATTAGAGACGAGTGTCATACGTTCAATAGTAATTGGCTGTTGACGGTATTTCCCCAAAAATCCTTGCTCTAGCATATACAACACGGAGACTCTTACATCGTCTGCATTACCTAATTAATGAAGTAAGTTATTGAACATGTATATAAGGTCAGCCATTCTCACAAAATGTGAAACCAACACAAATGGAAACACACTTTATTTGAACTCTGCAAAACCAGAACTGGAGGAGGGAGAGGGGCGCAAGCCGGTGACCAAGAAAAATGCTTTCCTATTAAAGAAAACCTGATAGTTGCCAACCGGAAATAGAAGCTCTTGTAAGTCAACTGGATCAAAAGTTGTAAATTTATTGCATATATGACAATGATAGAGTAAAGGGTTACATTTGATACCCATCTGCATATTCACATAATCACCAAAACATCAAACTGAAAACCGACCATGATGAAGATGTGGATCTGAGGGTTTCTTTCTTCGTTGGATCTGCGTCACTTCATCTCCCACCAACGTTTCTCATTATCTCCCTAGACCCGGTTACATCTTTTCATCTCCATCCTACCGATGGCGAATTCAAGTGGTGGTGGTTGTGCTACCGGTGATGGCTTCTAGTGGTGGTGGTCGTGGTGATTGTGCATGACCGGTGAAGTGGTGTTAAGTGATAAAGGGATGTTCATAAAAATAAAAAGATAGAGGGGAAGTTGTTTACACTTTCTTTTTTTTGTTTAATAAATAAAATTAATAAAAAAGTAGAAAAAATTAATATATTAAGGGTAAAATCGTCATTTCTTAAAAAGTCAAAACAAAATGGACCAAACTCGCAACAAAATGAAAATTTTGGACCACTTGTTCTAGTCCAAACCTTCTTGAAAGAAACTGATAATTTTCGACAGACCACAGAAACTATTTGTGCAGTTTAGTTTATAATATATACTTTTATTTTACCTACTCATAAGTATTATACACATATGTACATGTTTAGACCATCAAAAACCATTACTAGGTAGACATTCTTTTTAACTATCTAATATATGTATATATGTATTTGAGTATATTATTTTATGATATTATTTTTTGTCTATAAATTTGTGAAGTAGTATATACTGTTTTGTGTTAATGAAAATTTATAAAATATAAAATCCATTATAATTTCAAGTAAAGACATTATAGTTATTAAAATATATTTATATTTAATCGCATAAAATATAATTTATTTCAAATATCGTAACTATTAGCATTTATTTATATATGTCTACTATAATAAAAGATATATTTTGCTTCAAATATCATAACTATAAAAATAAATTTATTCATCTCTACTCTAATAAAAAAAAGATTTACCTGACATGTCACCTCCACTTTCATTTCCCATGAATTTACTTCAATACCATTGCTTCATTTAATTACCAGATTGTATTCCTTGCTTCATTTGATAATCACTATTAATCAGGAACAAAGTGATTTTATATCTCTATAATTATGGCTCAATATAACGAAATATAATTCGTTGTTAATCCCCTAATGTCTTGATATATCTCTCTCATTCTCTATATCTTGTCCTTCCTCACTCGGTTTTCTTTGTGTATGTTTCTCCTACGTATTCGAGCACCACACACCGCTACATGTACATTGTGCATTACCAATGATTGTATTTTTATAGTGATTTTTCTCTGTTGAGAGGGCTAAAGTCACATTTTTTTTGAAAAAAAATAGGGATGGAAATGCATTATACAAAGTAGATGAGGGAAATCCATATTTTCATATGTTATAGGATAAGCATAAAGTTTATAAAATAAAGAGTCAAAGTGATATTTTACAAAGTTGAAGCTGGAGTAGGTGAGAGTGGTATTTTTAAAAAGTAAAGAGATGAAAAATATCATTTTACAAAATAGAATGGATGAAAGTGACGGATTATACAAAGTTGAGAGACTAAAGTTGCACTTTACTAATTCAACATCTTTTATGAGGATGTCTCACTAATTAATATATGTTAGGTATTTCCACAATTATAAAAAGTAAATGGAACTAAGAAAGTCTCACAATTTCCAAAGTGTTTCTTACGACATTTCTAAAACCACTTTTCTTCATTTTATCGTATCAGTCCGGGCTTGAGGTCCCAAATTTGGAGGCATTTTCAAGCTTATTCCTTGCCTTCCCTCCCACTTATTATCTCAATTAAGTTTTGATGAATCACCTTCTCTTTCTATATATTGTCGCTTTAGTTCAATTTCTCGTTTGTGGGCTGCATCTACTAGAGAAAAGTATTATAAGAGTTCATTTGAATAAACTCACAAATTTTTGTTGTAAGTCCCTATGTATAACAATCCCTTCTTCTAATTTCAGTATCACTTGATGATGAGCAAATCGAGTATTCTCATTAAATTCAACAGTATATTGTTGTACTATTTTTGATTCATGTTGAAATTACATAAAGTCATCTTCTACTTGTGTCATAAAAATGAGAGAACAATATTCTTCTTAAAATTTGGCCCGAAATTGTGCCTAAGTCAACATTCGGGTCAAAATTTCTCCAAGAGAACTGGATACCATATCCTACCAATAGTGAGCATTACTGACAAGTAAATTAGTTGCAAATTCCACTTTATCTTCTTCCTGGGACTTGCTAGTACGAAATATCTTTCTAGTGTGAGCTAACCATGTCATAGCAACCATAGGATCGTTGGTTCCCTCAAACTCATTCGGCTTACAATCAATCAAGGTCTTGTACGTATAGTCACCCTTATGTTCTACATAAGTAGTTCCAATTGTTCTCATACCTCCTCTGGTACCCAAATTCTCTCCTTAGCCTTCCTCAATGACGAGATTTAAATCATTTATTTCTTTTAAATTCGTCTCCCCTTGAGCTGTAATCAAGGTTGGTATTATACCTTTAAGGGATTTTGCTACTTCCTCTTCAATGATTTGTCAAATATCTGATTTCTATACGAGAGGTCCCCCCGTGTTTTGTTGGCTAACTGACAATTTCGTTCATTTAAACATGAACTTTCTTTCTCATTTTCACATCACATATCACATACATGTTTGAAACTACTACATGTATAATACCCACATCACATTCTACACATTCCCTCATTTGAGGTTTAATCTCAACTTTCCTTCCATAGTTCAAGTGTAGAATCACCCACTCTAGGACCAAGTTCACTTGAACAAGTGTTCTGATACGAAACTTGTAAAACCCAAAATTTTACCACAAGATTACACCTAAAAATTTTCCATTTATAAGAAATATCATATAACAAGGGTTTTATACATAATAAACCTTCTGTATTAACTTAAGTATATATACAAAAGATAGCCCAAGATAATATATTGGGTTATTACATAATAAAATACTATATGTTTTCATATACATAAAAGTTACATCTAATATTTTCTGGTTCACAAAAAGACCTTGATTTCAAAATCCTTTTTTAGTTTCTGTAAAACAAACACAATAATAACATTTATAATATGCTACATGCTTAATGAATAAAACCATTTATATAAACTTGAAGTATAACTATCCAAAATCATTTTATTTCATCGTATCTCCATCACTAAGATTACTACTATAACTCTTTCTCATTTTTGTGGTATCTTTGCACCGACATTATCAATATAACTCTATCTCATTCCCTTGGTATCTCTAATACCGAGATTACCATTGTAACTCCTTCTTTTTCCCGGGGTATCTCCACACCGATATTACCACCATAACTCTTTCTCATTCATGTGGTATCTCTTACACCAAGATTACCACTATAACTCTTTCTCATTCCCTTGCTATCTCTATACTGAGATTACCACTATAAGTCTTTCTGTATATAACAATACGATAATATAATAGCAATAATTCAAGTTCATAAGTAAAATAAGTTTTACTCACCTTATGACTTGTTGATTTTCTGATGTTCCTATGCCTAAACCTTTTTCTTCAGATCTAACACCCGAAGTCGTTACAAAAATCCATTGATTTATACATAATTATATTCTCTACATATACCATTCTCATTTATAACAAATTGTTCATTTCATCTCAAAATAATTATTCCATCATTCGAGCATGTGAATTCATGTTCATTTCATCAATTAATTGTTATTGAGCTCTATTCATAAAGCTATATACTCCATAAATCAATTTATTATTTTTCGTAGATCCTAAATATAGCAATCAAATTTCAATCAATGATATTGAATGTAATAATCACACAATACCATTCTTTCTATATTCATACATACTTGAATTACCATCATACATATAAACCCTAACTATTCAAAAAAATTCACAATTAGGGTTCATTAGGATAAATCCCCAATTCAAAGATTAAGGTCCCGTTTGATAGTTCCTGACTGAGAAAGAGCTGACTGGGAAATGTATGTCTGGGTAAGAAATCCTGAATGAGTAAGAAACCATGCTGTTTGATTGTACATCTGACTTAATGTTCCGACTGACGAAAAATGACCATTTTACCCTTCTACTCTATACAAAAATGGATGAAGTTGTTGAAAAATTATAAAAATGCACTAAAGATAATCAAATTCAATTGCTCTACTCATTTAAAATATTTTTCTTCAATCTTCTTGCCTTATATCATTTATCAAGATAAACATTAAAAACAGAATAAATTCCGAAAAAACACAATTCTCATTTCAATATGACCCAATTATGATATAATAGCCATAGCCTATTTCTTGTTGGGTTTCTTCTTTGAAACCGAAGTCACAGCCACCTGTGGTTTTGGATGCTTTTCAGCTTCACTTGGTTCTAACCACTTGAGAGGATGTTTGTTAAAAAAGGGCCAATTAGGAATTGTAATCAAAGTTGTCAAAATCACCCCCCCATCATACACTATCAACATCAGTTGAAATGAACCCACAACATAACCTGTTATAAATGTTGCAACTGCAAATACCACCGGCAATATCTGCATCAATTGCTCTGCTACCTTCTGTCCTTGCCAATCCATCTATTTACCCGAGGGTATTATCGGAATTAAAAAATATATAAGGTGTAATCGGAGTCAATCAACTACCTTCAACAGTAAATAGATGGATTTAGGGCAAGGAGTAAGCAATTGCTTTGCTACCTTCAACAATAAATTCATTTTTATCAGTTTTGTACATGTAATTGAAATCAGAGTCAATCAGCTACAAAGGAGTAAGCAAAAGAACATTCATAAGGTGAAATCGAACACAGTGACCATTTAGGGCAAGGAGCTTTGATCGGCTGGAGAAGAAAAGAACAGCAGAAGCATACCTGATAGACGAGGAAGGAGCTTCAACCGGCAATTGGAAGAGGAAGAAATAGGTCGATGTTGCTTGCTGGAGAAGAGGAATCGCTGAAAGGGGAGAAGAAAGGGAACCGATGGAAACTTTTCTCCTCTTCTCAGTCAGCTGATTTCGAACTTCTTTCTCAATCAGCTATAGATTTCTGAATCAGACACGCATAAAGTGTTTATCAAACACAAATAGCTGAGCGAGTCAGCCAAAATGGTCTGAGCCAACTCAGTCAGACCAATATCAAGCACAATCTAAGTCATGATAATAATTTCATATGCACATAACTAAAGTAATTACACCCTTAATGATCTATTTTGAATTCAGTTTCTCCCATTTCACAACTAATTTTGGATTAGGGTTCTTATCCCCAATTCGATTTCATACAATTTCCTGAGCATTTCAAGATATTAAACCCCTTACCTTTAATCTAAAAATAAAGATGAAGCTTGGTTGTTAATCCTTTCAATCCACCTTTAAGATTCGATACATTAAGATTTGATACTTTACCAAAGAAATCGCACACTTGTCACTCAAAAACACTCTTGCTCTGTTGTGATATGTTTTAAGCTGAAAAAGACGATTTCACTTCTATTATTTTTCTTCTGATATAGTCGCAACGTCGTGGAGATATCGTGTCCATGCTGTGAAGACTGACGTAATCTTTCGTCGTACCTCGATGTTTTCGTGACACTTTCTATTCGTCACAAAAATTCTAGCTAAATTTCTTCGGCAATATACTTTCACCACGTTGTGATTCTTCCAAAGTACATTGCCCTTTTATTTACGTCAAATGAATCACCGCTTTCACACCGTGACACTACCTTCATTACGTCATGCTTACAAATCGCCACATCGTAATTTCTACAAATTTCAGAATCGTATTTTATTTATTCCTATTTTACCCCTCTCTACCCTTTTAGTAATACACATTGTTCCATTCTCCTCCTCCTTAATTTTATATCACTCTCTTTAAACATAAAGACATAATTTATACTTTCAACAAGAATTCAAGCTTTAATTCATTGTAAATGACCAAAATACTCTTCTTAAATTAAGATCTTAATAACACTTTACACTACATAGCTATTACACACACACATATATTGTAACACTCGCAGATTCGGGATAGTCAATTTAGATATAATAAACATTAAAAATGATTTTTTAATAGAATATTACTTAGGAAAAATAATCTTAACAAAAGTTAAAGTATATGTAACAAGGATTCTGGAGATATAAGGAATGTTGAAATCTGATTTATAATGAAGAGGTTATGAGTTTCGCGACAAAAAAGACACGACTCTACATAACGTAAAAAGTAAATTTTTTATAAAATATTTTTTATCCTTAGTGATCTAAACGAAATTCATAGTAGTCATCAAACCAAGAGCATGCATATAAAGAATGTCTAAATATGACTTTGTTAGAGGAGGTTATGATTTTTCTAAGAATCAGCATAGTAGTATACAACTCAGAAATAGAATTTTAGATCAGTGGATTATTAACCGACGCAATGTAAACGAGAGTTGAAGATCTCGTTAGTAGGAATTCAATGATAAAAAGGAAGTCGAAAATGGACGTCGGATGAAAAAGTTATGAATTTTTAACGGACTTTAACAGTGTAAGCCTCTTAAGATATAACTTCAAAAATAAAGTCAAAATTAGCCAATGAAGTCTAAATGAAAGTTGTAGATCTTGTCGATAGCTACGCATGGTTTAAAGAACGTCAAAAATAGAGTTCGTATGAGGCTCTAGGCTCACATATTTCTTGCACCTTTCTCTTGATTCAAGAGTCTTTCTCTTCTTATCCCCGAGCATGTCAGTCCCTTGTGATTCGACTTCTGTGTTTATAGTTTTAGTATAGTAAGGTGAGTGTTAAATCGCTAGAAGAATCTTTTTAGAAGAAAGATTCAGGGACGAAGTTCTAACCACGGAATGCTAAGTTTTTCGCTAAAACCATCTGTAAGTTGAGTTACACTTGTCGTGCTTTAAGATAACTTTTGTTTAAATTCATTATCATTATTATGAACCTATAAACAATTTTTATCAGTGATTCCAAGTCGTTATATTTATTGATCTACATAAGGGGATGATGATAAGGCTAGATTTAGTGAGGTGTTTAAAGCGGGTTTTCCAAAAAGTATACTCTGTATACCAAACGGACCCTACCTATGATATGATATTACCTGGTTGTCCATTCAAAATTATAGTTAGTAGACTTTGAATTAATGACGAATCTAGACTAATAATTAGTCGCAAGAAATATTAGACTAAGACTTAGTGATAAAGATACTAGGTTAAGTCAAATGAAAAGACAATTGCTAAAAGCGAAGCGTTGTCCGAATTTCGAGTCACCACTTTAACAAGTGAGTGTATAGTTACTTTCGTCTTACATATACATATGAAGTATTTAAGATAAATTACATGCTATATGTGCCTTTTATTTGTGTTCTTGATATCTATGTTGAATGAAATTCCACAATATTATAAAGTATTTAAGATAAAGTATTTAAGATAAAATATTTAAGATAAAATACATTTCTTCATAAATGCTTTGATAATATCTTTATCATATTTTGGGAAGAAATTCCACAATATTATTCTTAAAAAGGATACTCTGATTTTAAATAAAGCATAAACAAATCGGTCTTTTCTGGCCGAGAAATTGGGGATGTCACACACACACATATGAATATATGTATATGTATATATATATATATATATATATATATATATATATATATATATATACGCACACACACACATTATTCTTAACCTACATAATAAAACTAGCAAATTAGAACACGAGTAAAGGAACTATATACCGAAGCTCAGTTTAAAAATCCAGGAAAGATTGGTAATGAAAACGAAGATCAAATGAGAGGTGATTGTAAATGGCTTAGCGAAAATGCACAAAAGTGGGTTGGCGCCTATCAAGAAGCATATTCACGAAAAAATAGTGGAATGAGCAATAAAGATATTAAGACTGAACTCATAACTGATGACATATATGTCACACACCCAAACTGAGATATCGGAAACATTCAGGGGCGGAGGACGTCATGTTCAGTATCGCAACAAATGTAGAATAGTAAAACAAGAAACAACAACCATTGTATTAATATTATAGTGTTTACATTGTATTCAAATCACATATGATTAACTCCAAAAGTAAACAGCCAAAAAACGAATTAAAGCTACTATGCTCCGTCTTCTCGAAACCTGTGTGTGTACCTGTCTACTAGTGTCCTGAGAATACAAGTTGTTTTGAAAGTGTCAAAATTAAAGTCGGTGAGTTCATAAGCATTTTGTTTTAGAAAGTGTGTTCTGTGTTCCTTGAAAAACTTAGTGTGTTCCTCCAGAAAATCCTATATTTTCTGATGTAATAAAATGTAAGAAATGTTATCCATACTCGTTCCTTCTACAATCACTTAGTGGATAGAAATTATATACAATCCAGATCGAACAGAAAATCCATTGGGTGGTTCTGTCATAAGACCACAACCAAACAAGGAACGGGAAATGAAGCGGAAACCACACATTCCACTGTCTGTCGGATCTTCATTGTATGTAACCTTGGCGTATACACTATGTAATTACAGAGTTAACAACGATGGTTCTTATTGTGTGAAATATCCATTGTACTTAGAAAAGTAATGTAGTACCGTTGTATTTGTATGCAACCCTTTTTGTATGTATGTACCTAGTTAAATGCTCTTTCAGAAAAGTAAGTTTTGTACTAGAAAATAGTATATTGTACTTGTATATAGTGACCTGACCCATACCTGTTTCCCCCTATGATTACTTAGTGTATATGGGCCATATATACAACCAAGATCGAATAGATAGTAGACTATGTGAATCTGCTCTAAGCCCACAACCAAATAAGGAACAGGAAGTAAAGCAGAAAGCACACATTCTACTGCCTTTCGGGTCCTATTTATATATAACCCTGATGTATAAACTAAGGAATCATAGAATTAGGATTATAGGCGCTTTCTAAAATGTATGTTCATGTTACTAGACAAGTAGTTTAGTGTAGTTCTATTATTAAGATAAAACCATTTGAAGCTATGTAATCCCGTAAACTAAACGTCTTAGTTGATACTATTGTAAGTTTCTTATAACTATGCTAAAATGACTAGTGGCCTGCACAACATTCTTCAAGCGTCGGAATGAGATGACATTTGTCGTCCCTGAACTTCCGTTCGACTGTAGCTAACAGTCAGGGCGTGGGATTGTCAGACCCGTATAGATCTATACACAAACTCACACTCTGCCTCAAGAAGACTCTGGTTATAATTTATAGGACTTTATCCTGTACCCTGATGGGTACAACGTAGTAGTGCCTCACAACCCTTTATAAACTTGATACGTATAGAATACTAGTGTTCTCTTGTACTTGAAAATGTATGAATTACCTTGTAATAGTAATGTACAATAATTGTAATTAAATAATTATTTTAGTATGATACCCTTGAATTAGTAAAATAGTAGAAGTGATCCCTAAACTATACCTATTATAGTTTACATGTATATTCTGTATGCAATGAAAATCTTAGTAATTTAACAGTTTGTATAACACAATGAAATAATTTGAGAAAGATACCCTTTGCTCGACATTTTACAAAAGGGGTTAAAGCTTTATTTAAATAAGTTATATATATATATATATATATATATATAT